ACACACAGGTAACACACCTGAACCACTCACACACAGGTAACACACCTGAACCACTGTTGATGTCTTTGTTTGTTATTGTCAGTTGTGAGTAACGCATGGTTGGAGACTCTGCTGTCGGCCATCAACGCTTTACCTAAGGAGACCATCAAACAGGAGGTACAGTGATCAATGCTGCTGATCAATCATTTTCACCAGTCAGCAACTTGTTTGTTCAAAAGATAAGAAAGGTCTGTCGCTCTCTGTTCCTGTCTGTCTCTCCAAGGTTCTGAACCCCCTCCTCCATCAGTCTCAGCTGTCTCACCCTCTTCAAGCTCGTCTCGCCAGCTGTCGAATTTTAGGAAAAGTCGCCTGCAAGTTCGATTCCAACATGTGAGCAGAAGTAAAATCATTTTAATTTTCAAATGATTACTGATCAGATGAAGCTGACTGTCTCATGTTGATGATGTCACACCTGATCCAACCATAAACAGTACATAGACACTGACTGTAAATAAAGATGGACAACATGACAGCTCTCAAAACTAAAGCTAAATCCTCTGGATCGCCCCCTGATGTCTGGCTGCAGTAAAGGTCATAAACCTCCTCCATGTTAGCAGATGGAACATATACCAAACCTTAATATCAAAGTAGACGTTAAAGCTTCAGTGTGTAGAATTTGGTGACATCTAGTGGTGACGTCGCATGTTGCAGCTGAACACCCCTCACCTCACCCTCCCCTTCCAAACATGAAAGAGAACCTGTGGTGTCCGTCGGTTGTCATAAAAACGCAAACATCAAACTTGTCCAGTCTGGACTACTGTAAAAAAACATGGCGGCCTCCGTGGAGAGGACCTGCTCCAGATGTAAATATGAGTTATTTAAATATAAAGGGCCCATTCTAGGGTAAAGAAAACAACAATTCAAAAATGTTGGTGATTACACACGTGCGAGAACATCACTACAATTATTTTAGATTTCTGCCAATAGATCCTTTTCACCTAAATCTTACACACTGAACCTTGAAACAAATGTTTGTCATTTCAGCTCGTTCTTCTCTCACTGATGTGTGTTCAAGTGTTTCTGATCAGTTTGGTTTAATTAGTTATTTGATGATATAGAAACAAGCTGTCAGACAAGCAAGCTGGAAGTGGATGAGCGCGTGTGGGCGGGACCTTGATGACACAGGTGCATGATCTCAACTGCACAGACTGACTGCAAATGACATCATCACCACAAGATGGCAGCGTTCGAATTCAGGATATTTTAGCTTAATTTCTGGAGGAAGTGGAGACGTGTCATCCATCTTTGTTTATCCAACACTAACAGCTGTTTTTCTGTTTATCAGAGTGAAGAAGGAGCTTCTGCCTCTTGCTCGCTCTTTATGTCAGGATGTCGAGTTCGAGGTTCGAGCCTGTATGTGCCGTCAGCTGGAGAGCATCGCCAGGGCAACCAGGTAACCCTCATCAAACTCTAACAGAAAACAAATTGTCCAATTTTTTATTTAACAATTAATATGGACCTAACGTCTGCTGTGGTAAGAAGTTGTGTCTTTGTCCGTCTCAGGGTGGACGACACCAGGACAGAGCTGCTTCCTGAACTCGTGAAGCTCGCTAGAGATGAGGAGAGCAGCGTGCGTCTCGCTGCCTTCGACACAATCATTAATCTGATGGAGATGATCGACAACGGTGAGTCCTCAGGTGGTAACAGCTGGAGCAATGAGTTTAAGCCCCCCTCCTGTTCACAATGCCACATTCACAGACCCCCCCCCCCCTCTCTCTCAGATGACAGACTCCATTTGGTGGTTCCTCTGGTGATGTCGGTGTGCGAGGTGTCATCTCACAGGGATGAAACCGTCTTGGCATCTTTGTCATTCCAGTTTGGGAAGCTGTGCAGTGGACTGGCAGGTAAGACCCAACACTGAAGTCACTCAGTAGAACCACAGACTCTTCAATTGGAGGTTCACTGGGCACACCCAACTGGGAGGAGACCCATAACTCACTGGAGGGGCTACACATCCCATCAGGGAAGAGCTGGAAAATATGGTTGGAGAGAGGGAAGTTTAGAACACCCTGCTTTGCTGATATCCTCTGTGACCTGATCTCAGATAACCTAAAGATAATGGATGAATCGATGACCTGAGAAACCTCAGAATGAGTACCTTGTTATTAGATGGGTGTAAAGCCATGACCATGACAGCTGTGTGATTAGGAGGTAGTTCCTGATAAGAGTGATCCCACCAAGGGACTGAGTCGATACAAGAAAGAAGAGCGACTTCAGGAACAGGCTGCCTTGTCTAGAACAGGCAGACTGGTACCCCTCCTTCAGCCAGGTGGTGCCCATCATGGTTAGTGGTTGCACAATGTGGCCCGATCTGGGACAGCCCAAAGGCATGACATGGACTACCTGCCTTCTGGGCCTACTACCTGGTGGCTTTGTGTGTTGACAGTGCTCATGAATCAAAAAGATGTTTAGAGCAGCCACCTTTTTTTGCTTCTCTGAGTGTCGTCCTGGAGAAGATGTCACTAAAGGTCTGAGATGCTGTCATGGATGATGTATTTGAAACCTGGATTAGGGGAATGTTCTGCTCCATCTGCTGCTTGTTAGTGGATTCATTACATGTGTGGCTGTATGTCTTGGCTACTTAGATGCAGATCTGTTGGCTAATCTCCACCTGGTGGTAAGGGGGAATCAAATGGTGGTAGCTGCTGGTCAGACCGGCTGACCTTACACAAAAAGTGACATCTCACCACAATGTTTCCCTTTAGGCTGGTTGGTCCAGGGGACTCTAAAGTAGCAGACAGTAATTAGGAGGTCAGGTGACCTGGACTGAGGATAGTTTCAGACAATGGAAGGAACACTTGACAGATGCATTCTCCATAGAGGAATGGGAAGACTTTATGAACTGAAAGATGGTGGTTCCCAGATTTAAAAGGTCAGAGCGAAGAGCTTCAGCGATCAAGGAATCTCAGCTTCTCTCTCTTTCTATGTGCTAGATCAGGAGACCAGCTGTTACTCTTGCAGGAATCAAGGAGGGGTCATTGGACATCCAGTCTAAATGTGTTTTAATGTTATTATTGGGAGTTGGACTCCTGTCACACATTCATGTTCGTGTGAACAGGATCAGAATGTTCAGTCCCGTGTGTGTTTTTACAGCGACTTCAGGACTGAGGAGTCATGATGTTTTGAGGAGTTACTTTGTTTCAGGCTCTCTGTCAGATGAGCAGAAGGCCCGGTTGCTGCAGAGGTTTAAGGTGCTGTGTGTCACCGGTCTGCAGACTGAAGAAAAACTGACAACTGACATCAATGAGTCTAAGATGATTCGCTGCAACTGCTGCTACAACTTACCGGTAAGTGTCTCCCCCCCCACACACACAGTTCAGTAATTTGGATACTTGATCAAACTTTGAACTTTGTCTCTCTTTCCGAAGGCCATGATGGTGTTTGCTGATTCCGCCCACTTCCTGCCAGAACTCTACCCGTCTTTTTCCGCTCTTTGTTGTGACCCCGACGTCTGCGTTCGTCGAAGCGCTGCAGCCAGTTTCCACCAGGTCAGATTATACTGAAGCTAATGTTTGTCCTTAGGGTTCATCTCTGAGGAGCAGGAAGGAGATTCAGGGATTGATGACCAGTTTTTAAGAGGTTGCTAATATCACAATCATAGTTGTTAATGAAAGAAAGAAGCAGTTCAGTTTTGAACGTTTCAGTGCTTCGGCTGCGAATAGTTTCTCACCTCGTCCTCACCTGCCAGGTGGTGAAGCTGCTCGGTTCAAATGTCCAGGTGCTTCACAAAGAGCTTCTGGTTCTGCTGCAGGACGACGCTCTGGAGGTGAGAAGTCACAGTTTTAAAACATCAGCTGCTGTTTGTGTGTCATCAGCACACTGTTGTCGTGTTTTGGTTTTATTTTATAATGTGTCAATCATTAAACAGCAGCTCAGAACAAACACTGCTACGATGTATTTGAGATGTGAGTTTTTGTGTGCTGGAGCTTCTGTTGTCATTGTTGAGGTTCTGGATGCTCTGATGAATCACCTGGAGGAAACTCTGGAGGCGGTTCTGTCTAGAGGAGAGAACCTGATGTTGGACAACCCGGTGAGAAAACAAACCTCCCGCCTTAAGATCTTTGCACACAAGTCTGTATTTTTCATGCTCACGTTGTGTCACGTTTACTTAGCAACTAACCTTTGTCTGTCGTTAGAGTCTTCAGAACAGGTTTTTGTTGTTTGAGCTGTTAAGGATGAACTGGATCAGTTTTGTTCTTTTAAATGTTTGGTGGTTGTGAATCAAACTGAATCACTGAAGTCCTGAAACAGACTTTAAACAATCAGAGAATTTCTGAGCTCTTTTATCAGAAGATGAAATTCTTCCTGAATTGTTCCTGAATCTTCTCCGGAGTGGGTGGAACCAATGTTTTCTTTTTCTTTTTAAAGACTCACTGCTCCATTTTATGTCCTTGTGTGAAAAGACCTTTAGTCTTTGTTTCTCTTCCTGCTTCTCTAATCATCCACATTCTTTGCTCGCTTATCATCAGTTCCCGGAGCTGCTGGCGGCCCTCTTTTCGGCGGAGCAGAAGGTCGGATGTTCTCTGCGTTGGCGGCTGCATGAGAAGCTGCTGCAGCGTTACAGCTGCCTGGCCAGACTGCTCCCTGGAGATGTGCTGCACCAGAGCTTCTCCCCTCGCATCTTCATCATCCTCACCACCAATGTCGGCACCACAAGACAACACAAGACGTGACATGATGCAACAGGTAGAGCAGTCGAACAGACGGTAAATTCTCCTCTGGTGTTGTGGTTGCAGAAGGTGTTGCCTGTGCAGAAGGAGGCAGCTCGAACGTTCTGCACATTTCTCCGTTACAACCGCAAACAGGAGCAGCGTCGGGAGATGATGGAGCGACTGATCCAAGGTCAGAACACCCTGGTCCTGCAGTCTCAGGTGCACTGAGTACGTCACCTGTGAACAGGTGACCTCAGGTACCTCAGTGAAGTATTTTTAAAAGATTTTTAACTCCTTAACTCCAGTATGACAGACATGGTCATACTGTGAAAACATGTCAGAACATCTTGGGGAAACAGATCAGTGATGGTTTGTGTCTGATCCTCAGATCTGGCTCAAGGTCGGAGCTACTGGAACCGACTGAGGTTTCTCGACATTTGTCAAACAGCCACTGAGATTTTCTCCAGAAAATACTTCAACAAACACTTTTTTATTCCTGCGCTGCAGCTGGTGCACGACCCCGTCGCCAACGTCAGGTACAAATGTCCACCTGTCTGTCTGTTCACCTGTCTGTCTGACTGACATACCTGTCTGTCTGTTCACCTGTCTGTCTGACTGACACACCTGTCCGACTGTTCACCTGTCAGGTACAAGCTGTGCCAGTTGTTGCCAAGGTTACGCTCGTCGCTCTGCATGCCAGCTGACAAACAGCTGTTGCAAAAACTTGACTTCTGCGTCCAGAAGCTTCTGTGCAGAGAGACAGATAAAGACGTGGTGGCGACGATCCGTAAGGTAACGTCCTCATCACTTGTCTGTCTGTCCAACTATCTTTGTGTCTTGGACAATGAACTGAACAACAGATTTACTGTGTTTTTCAGACAGTGTTGGAACTGGACAAACTGGACCTCAAAGAACCTGTGAGCCGCTTTTCATCAACACTTGTTGAATTATTTGTTTGGTTTGTTGCTGTGGCCAGTTCTACTAAGTGAGTTCAACACATCTAGCATATCTTTCCGATATCCCAGTGAACTTAACCTAACAATCACAGCCAGGCTCAGTGGTCACATGGGGCTGGTTATTAACTTGTTAGTTAATCCAGGTTTTACTACTTTAGATATGACCATGTGCACATTAAAGGGGCGGGGTTTGCTGCATATGACCATCATAGACAAGTTTGACTGACAGCAGAGCCTCATATTTCATAACCATGATCAAACTGTTACTACGACTTAAAGAATCACTAAGTACTAAAGTATGTGTGGTTCTCCTCCACTAACACTCCCAGTACATCAGTATCAGTAAGTGAAGTACATGTAGACAGTCTGTGGTACTGTGAGTACTTTGCTCCTACAGGTCAGGTTGGTTCTGTTGAAGCTCCAGCAGCTGACAAAGGTTCATCCTCTGAGGAGAATCTAGATCTTTCAGAAACTCCTCAGAGGATCTCA